TGTTCTGCAGCTAGCGAAGGTGGTTTTGGAAATGCCCTTCCGAGTGACGTGTCACACCACTCATCCCATCTCAAACGGCCACTGCGATTTGTGACACTTCCCTGTGAGACAAATTTATCGCAGAGCCAAGCGAAATCTCTATGAATTCTCGAATATGTAGTTGTACAACAGTTGTACCACATGTTACCGAAAGAAAGTGAAAAGAATGGTGAAACCACGTATTTTACCTTACATGACAGAAACTCAACTCTCATGGGCATCTGCTCTGTCACATTACTCCGCGAAACAAACGATCAAGTTCTTTTTACATACTGCTGAGAAAATTTTATATAAAAATGAGGCTACAGTAGAGAGACGCAAAATGTGAAAAAATTGTTCAAACATAAATGATTAAAAGGCTGTATTAATATATACATTGTTCTTAGGTGATTGAATGCAGGGCCTTTCAATTGACTCGACATGATTTCGGACCGCTCTAGCTCAAGCACAAAGGAATCTATAATATATGAAACCTACATATTACGAAGCAAATCCAGACTTAAACTTAAGTTTATATATCTTCGAGTCATTTCTAACCTAAGGTGCCTACTGTGAACCAAGAGGGCCACTTGACGGCTTCCAAAACCAGATTCTACCCATTTCCAGCAATTTGTCCTTGTTTCCTTTTCTGTTTGATTTACCCTAATTTCACGCGTATAAAGCACACTTTTTCGAATTTTCAAGCGAGCAGCTCAGCCGCTTCACTGTATTCAAGAAAAAAAATCCTTACATCCCACGATTCTCTCAAGCAGTATACGGCACGTTATAGGGTCCTTGGGTTGTAAAGTCCTTTGGCTTGTCTGGGCTGGTCGATTTTGGAAAAAATCTCCTGCCCCTTACACACGTGAAATTAGGGTAATTGAATATATTAATATGAAAATTAATTACAACTTTGGATTGATCTCTCCTGCTCATATTCGTTCACTTATTGAACAGAAGTGTCGCTTATTTTGTGTTTTAGATTCACCTCTAACTAGCCCCTGTACAAGAAAGTCTGTGCTGACATTGATCTGCACCTCAGAAAGTTTCTAGCCAATCATGAGCGACGCTTATCAAAGAAATCCTCTATGAGAAATTTATTTAGGTACATTCACCACAAGTTACAAAGTAAGGTTAGCCTCCCGGTGTTGAAAGACTCTTTGGGTTATACTTGCTGTAATGATTCCAATAAAGCAGAGGCTTTGGGTGAATACTTTGCCACTGTGTTCGCGAATCCTTTGAACATCACCCCCTCTTCCTCCCCCCCCTCCTTCTCAAAACAAATTGAACTCTGTTTATTTTCACCCTGCGGAAGTGAGAAGAGTCTTGAGGTCCCTAAAACCTTCGTGTATAGAGCCGTACGATGGCATCCCTCAGATACTCTATAAAATGTGTGCAGATACTCTTGCCAAACCGCTTGCTGATATATTCAATCTTTCCCTGTACTTCGGTGAGATTCCTTCCCTTTGGAAGGAAGCCATTGTTACAGTTGTGCCTAAAACTTCCGCAGCTGAAAGTGTTGCCGATTTTCGCCCCATTAGCCATAATTCTGTGCCCATCAAGATTATGGAAAGAATTATTAGAAGTAAATTACTACTTTGGTTAGAGAGGTTTCATCTTGTTTCGCCCGAGCACCATGGCTTTGTGCCAGGCAAGTCAACTGCAACTAATCTTACTGAGGCCGTTTTTGATTGGAAATTAGCCTTGAGTTCGAGAAAATCTGTGGATATTATATACTTCGACCTTTCCAAGGCTTTTGATAGAATACCTCACCGTTTGCTTCTTTGCAAACTAGAGAATATCGGAATTTCGGGAAACCTACTAACTTGGTTTGAGTCTTACTTGAGCAATAGATGCATGACGGTAAAGATTGGTCATGAATATTCCAGAAAATTTCCCTGTCCCAGTGGAGTTCCTCAGGGAGCTGTTCTATCTCCTTTGTTATTTTTGGTATACACTTTGGACCTACCTGATGCTTTAAAAACATTGAATGTACACGTACAAATCTATGCGGACGATACAAAGATATATGCATCTTATGATGAAGACAACCTGGACACAGTTCATGATGTTTTGCAGTCATCGATTGATAAAATGTGTGCTTGGGCGTCTCAGAATGGACTCTCTCTCAACCCAAGAAAATGTTCCTTCCTCCATCTTGGCAAGCATTCCTCAACTTCGTATAAAATTGATGGAGTTGAGATGACTGCTTGTCAAGATGTGAAAGATCTGGGAGTTATTATCGATTGTGATTTGAAATTCTCTAAGCATATTGATTCAATTGTCAACAGGGCATATGCCACTTTATTTACAATCTTTCGCAATATACAAACTCGTAATCCTATAATACTGTCCCGGTTATACAAAGCTTATGTTATTCCACATCTTGAATACTGTTCGCAAGTTTGGACTCCTTCCCGAAAAAAAGATATAATGAAGATTGAAAGAGTTCAGCACACTTTTACCCGCTTGGTCTTTCGTCGTGCGAGTGGTGGAACACTAGTTGATATTCCAGACTGTCACCTACGCTCTAATAAATTGGGCTTGACTCCTCTCAGAATTAGACGCATGATATCCGACCTCGTCTTTTGTTTTCGTATTCTTCGCATGGAAATAAAATTAAAAGCAAGCAAATTTTGGATCTTCAAACCTGCTGGTACGAGGCTAGGTGGTTTCAATCTGCATTATAGACCTATCAAGCAACATCAGTCTGGAATATTCAACTACCTGTTCTTCCGCTGTGCAAGATGGCTTCAGCGCTTACTCGTTGATATTGTGTCAGTGCGTGGCGGTGAAGCCTTCAAGAAAAAATTAAGAAAAGCTGATTTGTCTCAACTTTTGAGCAGTGATACTTCTTCTTGATTGCGTTGCGTTTCTAATATTTGTGTTCAGATTCTTTTAGGGTTTAGGTCTTTAGGGCTTATGGTTGTTATGGTTCTCCCATGATTTGGTTCTGAGGCTTGATCTTCTTTGCACTTCTTTTTTCCTTCTTTTTCTTCAATTTCATTTTTCATCTCTCAATAGTCTTCTTTTTAGATTCTCGCTCTTGTCCATGCGGTTCACTATCTTTTCCGTATGACGGTTTCAAGGCACGCGACTCTACCTGTCTCATGTTGATCCTTACTCTGGGCTGATTGTGGTCGAGGGATGCGGAATGAATGCTTTGTTGGACTGTAGTTTATGTTAGATCAGACTCTACCACTTCATTGGACCTTGGTTCAATTTATTGCCGTTCTCTCTTGGTTTTCTTCTAACACTTTCATGCCTCACGCGTTAGTTTGGGTCTGGTTCCGTCTTATCACCTCAGTTATGCTTGGGCTAGCTTGTTTGGGCTTGAGACTTTTGCATTGTGCAACTTCTATCGGAGTTCTGTTCTCTCCCCAGAGTTTTGGTTGGGCGGGTTTTATCAATATTACTACTAATACACCTGCTTCCAACATATACAATTGCTTATGTTGAGTAAGAGCATTTTTTTGCTAAGAGCACGGGGCATGAGACAGACTCCATTGAACCTCTGTACCTGTGATGACTTTATATATGTCTAAACAAGCTCACTCCCTTTCCATTCCCAGAAAGATTTTGCGAACTGGACTTGAACTGATTCAGTGGGGAGTTTGCCTTTTTGTTTTATTTTTTTTGTTGTTGGTTATTTGGTGTGATGCTTCGTTCTTCTGTTGTATGGGCGCGCCTTGTGCGTATTAAATAAAAAATAATAAAATAAAAAAATATATGACTTATTAGGTTGGAAAGGAAAGAACGTCATATTTTTCGGGATTTTTTGAGCTAGGATTGGTATTTCTTAGGAACTGGAGCATATCGAAGGCCTAAATCTCATGACTAAAGCCTCGAAGGTTTGTAGTATACAACTGCATATATAGGCGGAGCCCACGACTGCGAGGGGCGGAGCTTGCCATTTTTCATTTTTCATTTTTTCGTGATTTCTGATCGCCAAAGAAATGTGGCAAGTGCACGTATGGATAAGTGCATGCGTCTGCTGCGTGCTGGATCAAGTAAGAGGTTTTTGGGATAAGCCGAAAACTCGATTTTTTACTAAGTTGCTCTTATGTTCTGCCCTTAAACTTTGGGTAAACCACGACCTATAATGTTCGGATGTTATCTTGTGAGCTTGCTTTGCACTGCCGAAAAAAAACCCTTCACATATTATTTCCTATTCGTCCTGCTGGCTGTAAAAAAACGAAATTCTTTTTCCAACCTAATAGCAGTATATACTTCTACGTTTTGCAAAATGATTCCACTGACTTGTGAGAAGTCACTAGTAAGACACTGCCAGCGTAAGGGATTAAATGAGCTTAATGATTTCGTCTGCTTTATGTACATAGCTAGATCCTAGTTACATAATATAGTAGAAATTGTACCTGGTCGATTTTGCTACTCTTCTGACATTCGGGACAAATTTGCTTTTGCTGAATCAGAGACACAGATATCCAGTAATCAAGCAACTTAGTTCACTCAAAACTGCGATAATAAGCTAAACTATGTTTGAGCGTTTCATTGGACAAAACTGAGCTAAACGTCTAGGGTGCTGATCAACGGGAAAGCCCAAAGACAGCGTAAAGTCTGTAAGTATTCTACATGTACACAACGGAACATAGAGCAGAAAACGATAGTATGCAGCTAGCCTCGGTTATATTGAAGACAACTCATAGCTTTTCATTTAGATAAAAAAAAAGATAATGACTTTAGCCTATGAATGTTGAGATAGCTTTTAGAAATGCAAACAGATAACATATGTTTAGCATGAGGAATATCTTAAAGAAACGCAAGAAAACGTAGTGCAATAAATTTTATTAGCTAGACTACGGGCATTGAATACATTGAATTAAATAGATAAAAAGAAATATGATCAAGTGGATAGCATGTTTATGCGTTTCCCTGCAACGGACACCTTGGGAGTTGTGTGATATGTTTGATTTCTCCTCTGTAGACGACCTACCCTTTTAATTGTTCCTCGATTCCTCTCCCTAGCCTGTTTGCGTAGGTCAGCGTCAAGTTCTCGTTCTGCGGGAATCATGCTCCTGCTGTTGTATATGTACGTGTTGTGTTTGTGTTCATATAAATGTAATCTAATCTAGTCGCGTATTGTAATTGCCGTTGATCGTGCGGGTATCGGAATGAAGGCGTCGAGCGGACGCTTTAGAAGTGCGCACACTAGCGCAGACGCGCAAGATCCGCGGGTTAACGGTTGTTGTGTTAAGCGGACGTGCACTAGGGCGAGGGGTGCTGAGCACACCGAACAGCAACAGAATATTCTTCATTGAACTCTCTTGGCAATGTTTAAGGTGTTTCCGCAAAATCCTTCCAAACCTATCTGGAGTAGTACAGGATGAATTGCAAGCTTGGTACAGCGAGCAACTACTGTCCGAAATAAATGGGCTCAGAAGAGAAATGTGAGAGCAGACATTTGTGTTGAGCGATTTTGAGGAGTTGATACGTTGAAGTACTGAGAAATATGTGGCTACTTGAGGCTTATGGCATAGCCTGAGTAAGGGGCGTATGGCAGGCCTTTCTTATTGTTAGTACAATGTTAAACAGTGGTTCAGCGGTGATATTTATCAATATCGACAGGATGCTTAGATGAGCGCAAACAGAAGAGCGCGGGGTTACGAGCCCCGCCTCCGATGCAAGCTAAGGGGCCATCGGCAGGGGTTCGGTGTGGCCAGAACAAAATATATAATTTTTACCAAACAAATCCAACAAGATACGGCGATGTTACGACTTCAAATTGTGCGAAAAACCAAATGCGATATGCGCAGAGACAACGATCGAAAACCTAGCGCTGTATATGTTGAGCAAAGTGACTAAAAGCGACTGCATGTTTTTTTCTTCAATTTATCTTCGAACTTCTTCTAGTCGAAGCAAAGACCCAGTGACATGTATGTAAGCAAAGCTGGAAATTACCGCAAGAACGCCATCGTTTGAATAAAAAGAAAACGGCGGTGAAATCACTCGACCTTATGCGAAAACCTACCTTTATTTCCTCGTGAAGGTAAATTAAGAAAAGATGCTACATTGGTGTTCAAAACACAATGGATGGTAACGGTATACTGTTTTCTAGCATTAATGCATTCTCGCTGTATTTTATTAGAGACAACTATGCTACATTATTGGGCGAAAATATGTTGGAAAAGACAAGTTTGGGCTCTCATAAATATTTTGCACGACCTACTTTTAATTTAGTTTCACAGCGCAAATTTGGAATTTGAATACTACATTCAGACATAAACTACTGCGTAGAACAGCAAAAGTGTTGTGGTAAATTGCGTTTATTTGCCATCACGGTTCATTTTGAACGATATCAAATGAAAAGTGCCAGGTTGAGCCATCAAAAATGCGTTCATATCACGGAATGCAGCCTCATCTTAAAATGGAGATATGAACGAAGAGTTTAAAATTCTGCGCAAGCTACGTATTTGGCTTTTATCTAAACACAAATTTTTCCTTAATTCATAGTTTTTCAGCCAATTCGGCTTTTTGCAAAGGCAAAGTGGAATGTAAAAGTAGTAAAAGTAAAGTAAAGGTGTCTTGGTCTGTGTGTAGTAAACGTGAAAGCGAAACAAAGTCACTTGTAGCTGTAAATGAGATCAACTGAAAGCTTCAAATGTTTGATTCTGGTTATGAAATTCTTTTTGCAAGGATTTGAATATGGATAGCGAACAGCGTATAAGGCAAACTATTACACTTTCAAATGATTATTGTGATTATAACAAGGTGACGCCCTACAAAGGCAACTTATGAATTTAGAAAATATGCGCATGCATATATGGCACTGAATTTTCCAGATTATGGTCGTTTTCATTATTATTATTCATTTCAATTTCAAAAATCTTTTTCTGTCAACTCCAAAGGTTTCTTTTTTAGACAAAGCCGGAATTTAGCCTCACCACTTTCCACTTCATAAGCTCGATTGCCTCGGGACCTTATATGTGCATCGCACAAGATCCACACACTGAGCAATAATTCCCTAATTTGTGGCTATGTTGGCTATACATTTTTGAAGCTTTACCAGATTCTCTTGCTGACGCGCGAAAATTTGGAAGAAACAACAAAAATTAATTGGTAAAAGATGCACGTCATAAAGGCTTCCAAATCTCAACGTTTACGCGCAAAGTTCATGATGTTGTAAGCGAATATAGTGAGTTACAGAAAAGTCGTCTATAATATGAAATTTGCCATTCTATTCCTTGCTACGCTTGAAACTCTCAGAGCTAATTTTTCGTTAGAAGAACTTCTCCGTTTTCCTGCCACTTATCAAGAATGGCTTGAACAGCAGCAGAACAACAAGGTTAGTAAGAGTAAAAGAAATGCTAAATTTCCTCACTGCCTACTCGTGCTAAGTTATCGTGCATTAAGTGGAAATCAAATTCATAATGAAATTTAGATGTCGCGACCTGTGAGAACACACTACGTCAGACACACACCTGCTCGACTTAACTCCACCAAAAACTTTGTGAGTATCTTCATACTACTTGTTTGACTTTGAGATGAAATCATCGCAGGATATTAATATGCCAAGTATTTTTTCCAACCGTTACAGAAGTTTCTGATATTCAAGCCGGAAAAACTCCCGAAGAGGATATGATCCTTGCAATAGTATAGTTCTCCTCATCAGGAGAACGACTATATGTTGGTTTTTTTCAGTTTCATCCAATTTTGTACCTGTTTTTCGAACTGCTATTTTTGAAGGAAAAACTTGTCGTGAACGTTGTATCGTCTTTTCCGACATTATCTGCTGGCGACCTCTATATATTGCTTATAAATATTTTTTAATAACTTTTAGAGCACTGCTACATATACCAGACCAGAGTACGGTAGCACTTACTAGACCAAAGTGCCTTTGAACGGCGATTTGACCTGGTAAGTGCTACCGTACTTACTTCGATCAATCTCGTTTGGGCTTCCTCAAAGACGGAGCGGAAATTTGGTGTTTTCGACCGTTTCAAGCAATTTGGAGCATATTCAGCTTACAATGAGACCCAATAAAGACAGGAATCCATAAGTCGCTGACTTGTCTGGACGCTGACTACCACCAAATCGAAGCGACAATCCTTGCTACATATTTATCAAGTATTCTCCATAATTACGGAGTTCAGCTGGAGCCGTTTTTGGTGCTCAGAATATGGAGCTATTTAAGAAGATCTTGAATTTTATTCAATTAGTTATTCTCTTATATCACTTAGCAAAATTACGCCGAAATTTTGGTGTTTCTCCCTACTTGATCTGCAAAATTACAAGAGAAAAATTTGGGAACCTACAGCCATAATCATGCACCAAAAACGGCTTTATAATTGATTGCTTTCAAATCTTTCTGCTCTAATTTTACGACCAGGAGCTCACAATGCATATTCGACTCTTGCGCTTGCTGACACTTTCCGAAACGGTGGAATTTGAAAAGTTGTGTGTTAACAGCTTTTTGATGCTAAAGACAGCTCTTTAAAGTTTTCCAGTTCCATTTTAATTGTGGATACTTTTCTGCGCGTTCCTCATTGCGTCAACAGTCCCACAATACCATGACGGACGATTACGTAGCGGTTTGAGGCTAGGAAAGGTAGAGTTAGAAGGTTCGTTTCCACTCTTGGGCATTTGAAAGCTCTCCTCTCTAGGAACTGATAAGAGATAAGTTTACGATGATAAAGCATTATTTGTAATTGGCCGATCCCCGCAAATTAATGTAAGCTAGCAAAAATTCAGCAGCTTCCGACAATAGATGCGTTCGGCAGTGCCCTCTTTCTTGCTCGTATCTCTTTCTAGTTTATTTATATGCAGCATGACTATCAATGATTAATTGATAATAAGGTTTATAAGGCTTTCAAAATGGCTCACGTGACCGCTCCATATCATCAATGCAGAATTGACGAGTGAGAAACAATATACATATTTACCAGTGAATCATGAGAAATCTACTTGGGACGAATTTGCCCGAACAAGCAATTCCGGCTTTGTTCACATCAATAATTCATGTGAAATTGAACGCCCTGCTTCTCGCCCAATCTGAAGTGCCTTTCAACGCTAGATTTACATATCTGCAGATATGAGGTGGTTTCTATTCATTCTTTCTGCTGCTGCTTTATTCTTTGAACTTCCAGCCAAGGCCAGTTTGAAGATGAAAAGATTTGTAATTGTCTGTAAAAGCTGATTTCAGCCAGTGAAAAGCCTGGCAATCCTTGATCTAGGAGTTTTCCGGCCCATTTCTCACACTGAATCTAACTGAGATATTCGGGAATATGACTGAGGCCAAAGCTCAAAGGCGACGAGATGTTTCATTGAACAGTGAATTGGAGAGTTTTTTTTTACAATTTTGCGATGCGATTTAATATGCATTATTGTAATAAATATGTAATATTGCATTATTGTAATAAATATGTCAAAATAATGAATGCTGACTATTGGAGCAAGATCAGGAAAAATACTAACTGCTGGAAAAAAAACTTTGAGATTTTGCTACAGCAAACTATTTACTTGACGCGAAGAAAGGCCTGAGACGAATTTACCGCCACCAGCCAAATACCCCTATGAGTTCTCGAATATGTAATTGTACAATGCTACCGAAGAAAGTGAAGAGGCTTGTGAAACCACACATTTTACCTTATATGATAGAAACTTCAATTCTTTTAGCATTTGCACTGTCTCCACTGCAATATCATGCTACATTATTCTGCGAAAGCAAACGACTGATTCCCTCTTACATATTGCTTAGACTTGTATAAAAAAGCTAATCAATAACGAGACGCAATATGTTAGTGAACAATTGTTCAAAAAGAAATGATTAAATGTTGTACGGAAAGAAAACCACATATCTAGCATTAGTTCATACATTGTTCGTAGAAAAATAGATACAAGGCCTTTTAATTGTCTTGGCATGATTTCGGACCGCTCTAGCTCAGGCACAAAGGATTCTCTTCCTTGCAACCCAATAGTAATATATATTTCTACTTTTCCTTGTACTGAGATTTCTACTGACTTGTGAGAAGTCACTAGGAGAGTTCACTGTCAGCGTAAGATAAATGAGCTTAATGATTTCGTCTGCTTGATGTGCATAGCTACATCCCAGTTACATGATATAATATAGTAGAAATCGGGGTCCCCCACAATGGTCGGTCGCCCCATCGTGGCGTGGGGGTGACACTGGGTGTCGAACTGCGATGCACAGCCGAGTGTATACTCTGGTAGGGCCTCCCAAGCTGTGAAGGAGTTCGACGTTTCCGGTTTCGGCCGGATGCCTAGCTAAGAACTGGCCACGCCAGATCCTCCGCCGTCTGGCTTCTTCTGGTCGCTAGGCGGTCCCTCCCCGCTCCAAGCCCGGGGTCAGCGATCGCCCCGTGGAAATCAAGAGTAGGCCTAGTAAGCCACCTCTTGTAGGAGAAAATTCATATTACTCTTCCAGTTAGAAGATTAGAAAGAAACCCTGCACATCGTATCCCGCCTACGGCGCCGGGTGGTAGCAAGAACGATGTCAGGGTACTCAGGGCGCCTTTCGGATTGGACAAAAACGACACGTCTGCCCGGACGACACGCCATGGAGACTGCCTCATGCTCTTCACCTACAACGCCAGGACAGTCTCCACAAACGCCGACCTCCACGCTCTTCTCGACGCTGCAGAGCACATCAAACACCACATCATCGCTCTGCAGGAAACGAAGTCCAGGAAGAAGGACGTGCGACAGATGAGTGATGGGACCCTTATCATTCGTGGTGAAAAGGTTTCATCACGAAACGTGGGAGGCGTCGGCTTTGTCGTCCATCCATCTATCGTCCATCTTGTCGATTCGCACGAGATCCTATCACCTCGACTAGGCATCCTACGACTACGCCCTCCACGTCAGAAGACCATCACTATCATCAACTGCTACTCGCCAACATCAGCAGCTGACGACTCAGAACTAGATGCTTTCTACGAAGAGGTGGAGGAGGTCGTCCGCAACGAAAAGTCCTTCTATAAGTATGTTGTGGGGGACTTCAATGCGAAAATCGGGATGCCACTAAAAAAGGAATATAGGATTGGGAAGTTTAATGGGCTCCGAAACGAAAACGGCAACCGTCTCGTTGGGCTCCTCTCCGCCGCACGACTCTTCCATGGAAACTCCACCTTCATGAAGAAAGAATATCGCCGGTGGACTTGGGAATCCCCAACGGAACGACTCATGCTGAGATCGACTACATTCTCACCAACCGAAGGTGGAGCTTACTCGATGTCTCTGTAGTTCCATCCTTCTGTAGTGGCTCCGATCACCGCCTCCTTCGAACGAAGATACGACTCAGCCGAAGGCTGGAAAAGAAAATCTGTCATAGTGCTGCGAGAAGGAAGGAAGTCGTTTATGACGGTAACAGGCTGGAAGAGCTTATATCAAGTTGTGACTGGCCCATCGAGGAGGACCCAACGTACGACTACGACCGGCTTCTGAAAGGATTGCGAGCCTGCGGAGAATGCGCCTCAGTGACTTCTGAGAAAAACTTGGACCGCATCTCGAAGACCACCAAGGAATTGCTCGAAAGAAGAAGATCATTGAGACAGGATCCAAATGCAACTCATCTCGAGCGACTGATAGCCAACACCAGTTGCAGAACAGCTTTGCAAGAGGATCTCAGGAAGTACAGGCAAGCCAAGATACTGGAAGCAGCCGAAAGAAGACGAAGTCTCAAGAAGTGCCGAAGGGACCTCTGCGAATATCACGTAACGCTGGCTGCACTACTGAACGAAGACGGGACTCCGACTTCTTCCCTATACAAGATGGAATCTATCGCGAAGAGCTTCTACACCAACCTCTTCCGCTCATCAACACCCGTGCAGATGCCCGTTGTTCCCACTGGAGAAGTACCACCACGATTTCTACCTGCTGAAGTGCGTATCGCGATACAGGCCATGAAGTCGTCACGGCTCCAGGACCAGATCATCTTTCCGTCGAACTTCTGCGAGCCGGAGGACACCGTCTACACGAGATTCTAGCGTCGCATTTGACATCTTACCTTCAGAAGGAGAAGATTCCCGACCAGTGGAGAACGTCAAGAACCGTCCTTCTCTTCAAGAAGGGTGAACGGGAGGATCTTCGGAACTATCGTCCAATATGCTTGCTGAGCGTGCTGTACAAGCTTTTCACGAAGATTATCTTCGCTCGCATATCAAGGACACTGGATGAAGCCCAACCCCAAGAACAAGCTGGATTTCGCAAAGGAATCAGCTGCATGGACCACATCCAGACCGTTTCCAGGGTCATAGAAGTCTGCCGGGAGTACCGACTGCCTCTCGTCCTAACCTTTGTCGACTACGAGAAAGCCTTTGACAGCGTCGAAACCAACGCCATGCTGTCTGCGCTAGTCGATCAAGGAGTGGACCCAGCTTACGTGAGGACGTTAGCCGACTGCTACAAGGACTGTACAACGACGATGCAGCTATTCCATCGCCCCCTGACCATATCAATCGGGAAGGGGGTCCGACAAGGCGACACAATCTCGCCGAAGCTGTTCACCGCGGCTTTGCAGTGGCTGATGAAGTCACTGGACTGGGACGAGAGAGGCATACGAGTTGATGGGAGATTCCTGTCCAATTTTCGTTTTGCGGACGACATCGTTCTCTTTTCGAGCATTATCACCGAAGCAGAGACGATGCTGAAGGAACTAAACGAAGTAGGGAAGAAGATCGGACTGCGAATAAATCGGAAGAAGACTCAGTTCATGAAGAACGCCCTTTGCGAAGATGCAGAAATGGAATTGGAAGGCACCCCGATTATGGAGACGTCT